GGCTCTGCCATGGTAAAGCATTCATAACGTTTGAGGAACTTCAAACTATATTATGTGAGATAGAGGTCGCAATCAACACCGACCGTTAGCTTACGTGAGCGAGGACGATTTAGACGAGGCGTTAACGCCATTTCATCTTATGCATGGTCGCAGCATGTCTACGGGAAAGAAGGTTCTAACTACGGACGTTGTGCTGTTATGAGTCTCGAACATTGCAAGAAACGGTTATTCCACTTACGAAAGTTATTGAAAGATTTATGGTCGAGATTTCGTAGTAATTATCTAAATGAACTTCGTCAGATGAACATTTACCGCAAGGAGAAAGGTGGAAGGCTAGAATGATCGAACTCGGAGATGTAGTGCTGATCAAAGACGACGACCCTACACCGCGGACGCAATGGAGAATGGGCAAGGTTTTGAATCTGGTGAAAGGTCGTGATGAGAAAGTACGTGGCGCTAAACTGAAGGTGCTTTCTAAAACTGGAAAGCAGACATACGTGTTTAGACCAATTCAAAGATTGATTCCGTTCGAAATTGTAGAAACATCAAGAAACGATCGTAGAGATGATAATTCCGAAGGACAATTGAATGAAACGATTGTAGAACTGCCGGAGATCGAGAACAGTGATGAAAACAGGAAACAACGCAATGATGGACGAGTTAGGAGAAAAGCAGCGATCGAAGGGCAGAACATGCGAAGAGCTCGTGAACAATATTATTAAGTTAGGATTTTATTAACGCTAGCACTTAACAAACTTTTAATCTTTGGTTGGGAGGATGTAGAAATTAATATTTTTAGGTCAGTTTCGTACTTCATGTTAGCAAATTAGCAGTATTGCATTTTGATTGGTCATCGCAAATCATGTGAGTGATCACATGACAGGACAATGAACGTTTGAACAATAACTCAGTGTTGTATGTCAGAGAGAGACGCACGGGTGTGCAAATTTATGTCGCACATAATTTTAAATAAAACTTTATAAAAATCAAGAGAAGGTCTTGCTTTTTAAATATATATAAGGCAGATGAAATCTCGATCGTTTCGGCGTATTTCGGCCTACCACAATGCACTGCTCCCGGGCCGGCAGGCTATTCTTGCCTAATAAACAGGCATAAGGCAAACAAGCAATGTGATCATCTTTCATCTTTGGTTTTCTTTTATGGAAAGCCATAGCTGGCGTAAGTGATCAAACGGCATTTTGTCGATACGCAGTGGTTCGAGCGTTATACGCGGTGGTTTCGCTATTATACGCAGTGGTTCGAGCATTATACGTGGTGCTTTCGCCATTATACGCGGTGCGTTCGCCATTATACGCAGTGGTTCGAGCATTATACGCAGTGCTTTCGTCATTATACGGGGTGCTTTTAACATAATTTCCATATTCTTTCCATGTATATAATCTCACGATTGCTTAATAAATCTGGTAGGCCTATGTGGCTGTGCTTTTTGCCTCTGGTCTGCAATGACAATGACATGCTTTTAAAAAGGTTTATTTATAAAAAGGTGACTGCACTTTGTGAGTTCTTATACATTATCATATAGTGTTGATTTATTAGTAATAAATCTGTGTATATAACATAGGTATATAAATTAATATAACGCAGCAAATGCGCGCCAAGCAGTATAAACGCGGCTGAAATACGATATTAAAATCTTGGAATGTGCCGTATGATTTAATTATGTTTTAGGATTTCAAGCCTTTAAAAATACTTTGTCATTTGTATTTGTACTTGTACTGCATCACATCACATCACATCACATCACATCACAGGTTGTCTTGTATATATTTTTGCCTTCTTTGATAAACATTATTAAACACGAAAATTTAGTGAGACGCACACTCGCACATGTAATTAAATGTCACCTGCATGTCATTGTCATTGCCCTTTAACCAACAAGGGTAAATAATGTTAGCCAATCAGCGCGTTTGTTTACATTTTGCGTCCTTGACCAATCAGAATGCCTGAAATTCGAAACATGTAAACAAAAGGAGTGAGAGAATAACACCTTGTTCTACGCCCTCCGTGACATTCGATATTAAACTTTTTACTCCAAAACTGAGAAATTCTGATAAAGCATGCTTTCTTATTTAATTTCCTCGGGGGGATTTTTTAAATTCGATCTAGAACGCGAAATATTTATGTTTGAATAACAGTGTTTTAACGCGCGTAAAATAGTATACTCTCACTTGCACTATCTTAACACACACATAAACAAATTGGTAGATTTGGCAGTTTAAACTTATTTTCCCCACACCACAGCCGAAATGTTTTTAAATATTACCTATCTCATCTCGCATCGGAAATGCGTCACAATGATCCAGGACAGTATCGCATGACATAAACCGTGTACACACTCATTACTGTACATATCCAGTTGGCAGAATGGCGATTGTCAGACCTTCGCGAAATGCTTATTTTTGCTAACAAACTGTTCACGAGGGTTTCGTTCTGTTCGTCTTCTGGTTCATCGGCTAGCCGCCTCACTTTCTTCGTCGCTTTCGTCCTCTCCAAAGCGAGTCGCCGAGGCAAACAACGTTAATATTTGCTGTCTTTCCAAGGCCTTCCAAGAGCTTCAACATTTGCCAACGTTGTTGCTTGACAAACTGGGCAATCGCTGATGTTGGACAGGATGCATTCGATGTGGAATGAATGTCCACAACCACGGAAAACGTTCCAAGTGGATTAACCTTTTTGCAGGCAGGTGAATTGCATTTTCTATGATGGAAATTTTAAAGTAAGATTTATATTTTATATTTTATACAGATCTTTATAGTCAGTTTGTCCTTGGAAATTGTTCCAAAATATGAGTGTGTAGCAAAGTTAAAATAGTACTCATAATCTCCAGAACATGTTTGAATCACTGCAGTTTAGAATTAGCAGTCCTGAGACATCGGAACTGGCAGCTGTTCATCTGATGATTCTGATCAATGGCACCCCATATCTATTTAGTGTACAATAGTACAATACCAGTCAATGTAAATTACCACCTCCCCCAACCCAGGAGTTGGTAGTTTTTACTTTTCAGCACTGCATAATCAAAATTGCTGGATTGTATGAATATCTGGTTTTGTCTTAGTGACCCTGCTTTGCCCGATGAACCCCACACTTCCTAGATTCGAGCAGGCAGGGACTTATATTGACTGGTACTTAGTTCAATTGCAGCAATTGGTCTGCCTGTGTGTTATTTTTAAGTGTACCCTGGTTCTAGAGGCTCTTTGCAAGGTGAAAGAAACAAGAGGCAAGAACGGAGAGCCTCTGGACATATCGATTGCAAATCCTACTTCCAAACTTGACTAGGTTCATAATTTGGACCTTGGATGTGATTGGCCATTTGTAAACAACCTGTTTAATTTAAGAAAAACCTGTTTGGGAAATAAACACTACTGTGAGCTAATTATAGCCTGTATTAAAATATTCTATTAAACTCAACCAAGCATGAATATTAATACTCCTACAGGTGAAAAAGGTATCGAATTTCTCAGGAGATAAACATATTAATCAGTTTTGCAGGACTGGACATGTTAGTAATACATGCCCAAGCATGTATTGACTTTAATAGAATATTTTAATACAGGCTATAATTAGCTTACAGCAATGTTTATTTCCCAAACCGGTTTGACATATTTTTACAAATGGCCAATCACATGCGAGATTCAAATTCTGAACCTAATCAAGTGTGGAAGTGGGATTTGCAATCGATGTCACCCTGGGCCTTACACAGCGGAGGAGGGGGTGGCAGGGGGCAACTACCCCCCTAAAGAAAACTGTATTTACAATTTTTAGATTGTCATTATTAATTATTCTTTGCATATTTGGGCCTTTTTTCAACATATAAGCCTTACTGCCCCCTTGGTGATACGGCCCTGATGTGACCAGAGGCTCTCCGTTCTCACATCTTGTTTCTTTCACCTTGCAAAGAGCCTCTGGAACCAGGGTACTTTTTAAGTAACACACAGACGGAGCAAATATTATAATGCTTTTAAAAATCTTCAATTTCAAAAGAGGCAGTAAATTGGTAGGGAAATCTTTCAATAATATCCTGTGGTTATGGTAAACTATGTACCGGTACCAGACAATATAACTCCCTGCCTGCTCAAATCTAGGAAGTGTGGGGGCCATTGGGCAAAGCGGGGTCACTGAGGGCCTGTTTATATGATCCTGCCTAGACGGGATGTTTTCATCCCGCCTAGATGGGAAATTTGCCTAGTGTTTATATGGACAAAATACATTGCCTGGATGAAGCCATTTAAGTGAGCTTGACGTCATATTTTTGTTGCAATAAAGGCATTTACGCATGCTCAAAAGGGAAAAGTTCATCCCACCTAGCTGGGATGAAGTGTTTATATGGGAATTTTTCGTCCCAGCTAGGCGGGATGAAGTGTTTGTATGGGAATTTTTCATCTCGTTTAGGCGGGATCCTGGCATCTGTTGCCGAGATCCCGCCTAGGCGGGATAAGTGGTGCCAGGATCATATAAACACTCTTTAGAATTTGTATTATGAGCGGGATCTCGGTAAGCACCCCGTCCACCTGGCCGGGATCATACATATAAACAGGCCCTGAGACAAAACCAGATATTTACACATTCCAGCAATTTTGATTATGCAGTGCTGACTGCTGAGAAGTAAAAACTGCCAACTTCTGGGTTGGGGCTCCAGGTGGTAATTTACATTGACTGGTATTGTACACTAAATAGTTATGGGGTGCTACGGCTGCCAGTTCTGTTGTCTTTAAAATGACTGCTAATTCTAAACTGCAGTGATTCAAAACATTGCCCCAGCATGTTCTAGAGATTATGAGTACATACTTATATTTTGGAACAATTTCCAAGGACAAACTGACTATACAGATCTGTATAAATTTCCATCATAGAAAATGCAATTCACCTGCCTGCAAAAAGGTTAATCCACTTGGAACGTTTTCCGTGGTTGTGGACATTCATTCCACATCGAATGCATCCTGTCCAACATCAGCGATTGCCCAGTTTGTCAAGCAACAACGTTGGCAAATGTTGAACTTCAACACTCAGTTGAAGCTCTTGGAAGGCCTTGGAAAGACAGCAAATATTAACGCTGTTTGCCTCGGCGACTCGCTTTGGAGAGGACGAAAGCGACGAAGAAATTGAGGCAGCCGATGACGATGAACCAGAAGACGAACAGAACGAAACCCTCGTGAACAGTTTGTTAGCAAAAATAAGCATTTCGCGAAGGTCTGACAATCGCCATTTTGCCAACCGGATATGTTCAGTAATGAGTGTGTATGAGTCATGCGATACTGTCCTGGATCGTTGTGACGCATTTCCGATGCGAGATGAGATGATATAGGTAATATTTAAAAATATTTCGGCTGTGGTGTTGGGAAAATAAGTTTAAACTGCCAAATCTACCATTTTTTTATGTGTGTGTTAAGATAGTGCAAGTGAGAGTATGCTATTTTACGCGCGTTAAAACACTGTTATTCAAACATAAATATTTCGCGTTCTAGATCGAATTTAAAAAATCCCCCCGAGGAAATTAAATAAGAAAGCATGCTTTATCAGAATTTCTCAGTTTTGGAGTAAAAAGTTTAATATCGAATGTCACGGAGGGCGTAGAACAAGGTGTTATTCTCTCACTCCTTTTGTTTATATGTTTCGAATTTCAGGCATTCTGATTGGTCAAGGACGCAAAATGTAAACAAACGCGCTGATTGGCTAACATTATTTACCCTTGTTCCTTTAACCCCTGGTCTAAATCATATGCTTATTGAAGCGGGGCCGTTTTGACTTTGGGCCGTTTTGACCTAGCACCGTATTTGTGGGCAAATTGTCTATACAATTTTATATACTAGATATCACAGCCATACTTGCCATTTTGATCTTTTCCTCGCGTTTAGATAAGTTGATAAGTACACTCATTCTTGTTAGCCATCATACCTGTTCGGCTGTTCCTCTTTCGATACGAAACTTCGAGCGCCGAGTTATCATACGGCACATTCAAGTGTATAAATTATGGATGATTCCAATTCATTACGAATATTTCTTACTCTTGTTCTTTAAAGGACATTGGCAACCAAAATTTTTATTGCTTATATCTATTAGGTATGCTTACGGAATACTTAATTTTATATTTTGGCCGGTTTGTCGCATTTAGTTGTTGAGAAAATGTAATAAAAAGTTCAACAGTAGTCCGCCATTTTGAAAATAAACACTTGTGCCACAGCATACATTATCTGACGTCATTAGATGGGTAAACACAATTTCATGACTATAAAACAATACCGAGTATTACCACGCGTAGTGCACTTTGAGCCTAAACGAAGGGCAGAAACGTTTTACCAAGTATGTTACTTATTTGTAACACTATTTCTGATAGTATATCAGTCCTAGTCCGTGTTAAATAAACGCAGTAATTCGAGTGTAAACAAGGCAAACACTAATGCAATATTTTATGATCAATTACCTGTATTGTAAATTGCGCCATTCCTTGCTTTCCCAGTCGCTCGATATGTTTTTATCTGATAGTGTAGGCTTCTCTTGTTTGATTGCGAAAAGTATTGGCCAGTATAACGCTCAAAACGACATATTTTTGGCTAACACGACACGCACGCAATAGAATTCTCACTTGTAGTTTTGGTGCTACCCATCTAATGACGTCACAAAATTCGTTGACCTTCGAAGGTCATTTTTTCCAAGATGGCGGCGACACACAAAGTTTGCATGCATTTTACTCCTAGAGTAAAATGTTCGAGAAGGAAATGATAATATTTTCATAGTTAGGTTGTCAAGTAGGATTGAAATAGCCAATAAAAATTTTCGTTGCCAATGTCCTTTAAAATATTAAGAGGCAATTTTTTTTCAATGTCACGTATTTGCTGAAAAGTGTTCAAAACCTAAAATCTTTTTGGCGTTCCTCTCAAAATTACTTTGTTTTAGCTTTATTCTCTACAGTTTATAGAGTTAGCTACCTTTTTAAATGCGTCTGCCGGTTGAGGAACATAAAATAATAGTTAAAAATTGCCAATTAAAATACAATTATCAATGATGCCTTAAAATTGGCGCTACATTTACAGCCATTTAAGCAAAACGTACTGAACTTCAGACATCATTTTCTCTTTGGCGTATCATCTAAAATCTCTTCATTTTAGCATTATTTTAAAAAGATAAAGCACTATTAAACATACTTTTTAGGGTTTTTTTACCGGTTGAGAAACGTATTGAAAAATAAAAATTTTGATTTTAGTCATAATCTCGTGTGGTATATTATACGCATTAGTTTTGAGCGCGTGTTACGTAACATACAAAAAATCTCGTTTAAAGATTTGGGAACAATGCTATACCAAGGCAGCATTCACTACCCTGTGGGTAAACTAGTTCAACATCTATCAACTTGAATGTAAAATTTCCTGAGCTTAGGCGGCTTTACTGTAAAAATCCGCTTAAAAGAACCACTGTGAGACAGCTGGGAGGCGTGCAATGGCCCCTCCAAAAGTTTAGAAAACCATGGAAATTCGGCAAATCACAAAATATGTCAAATTCAGGTCATTTCATTACCATATCCATAAAAATTCGGGCAAAATTTGAAGTATCAAGCCCGTACTTTTTTCAAATTTCGGGCGCGTCGTTTACAAATTTCGGTTTGAACATTGACGGCTTGAACATTGTAAATAATTAGTTTAATTAACTGTACTTCCTATATACTTTGATGAGCCATACTTGCAGGGAAATACTGTTGAATAAACCTTTATTATTAATTAATATTGGTATTTAGATCATTTTACTTTGGGGGTCAGTAGACTCGGTACAATATCATCGTTGAATAGGTTGAAATTGACGGGTATAACTTTCCCACATTTACCCAAGATTTCGAAAGATTAATACTTAGGCATACAGGCGTATCCAAAAATTGTAGGTATATAATTCAGCTTGCCATAATAATGGTTAGGTATACTGGTATATTGAGCAACCATGCATTATCGATTATATTGGTATTCTGGTAACCTCCCTGGCTCAGTGACGTACCAGAGGGGGGAGGGCCCGGTCCTCCCTGGCAGAACATTGGGCCCCCTTTGGGAAAATTCCGACCAGTACCATAGAAATGTGCATTATATTTTCATTTCTTCTAATCTTCCTATGTTCTGAATGTTCTGGATTTGTTTGTGGCTAAGTAGAGTTGTTATGTGTTAAATGTTTATCTAAAATCACCAAAACGCATTAAAACAGCCCCCAAAATGCTGAAAATGGCACTTTACCGACTCTAGAATTAGGAGGAGACCCCGGACACCCTTAAACGTTCATTCTGCTCTATTATACATGGATAGCATGGAAGTCCAAAAAAATTTTCACGTAATGAACAAACTTTATTCGAACTAGCGCTGGGTATTAAAATTGCTTTGGCCCCCTCCGGGGATTTTTTTGTCTCTCCTTGACTAGAAATCCTGGCTACGTCACTGCCTTGAAGGCTGGGCCTGAATTTCAGCTCGGTTAAACGGCATTCTCGTACCCAGAGCCCTTCTTACGCGCGGTGCGACGAGGGGCTCTGGCCAAATGGTACGAGAATGGGTTAAACGGCTTCAAACACGACTACAAATTCAATAGGTGTACTGCCGCTGACTCTTCCACAATCCCTCATCCGTTATCCGTACGCGCGGTCGCGCATTCCCATTAAGCCCCGCGCTCCCATTGTTTTTCCACTGATCTCTGATTCCCAACTGAAGTATTCTTTAAGGCCATTTTTCCATTGCGGTCGCTTTGCGCGGGCGGAGCGACTAATTTCAACCACGTGAAAAATCAGTCGACCGGGCATGCCAAGAAAGTTGAATGTAGTTCTACTTTCATGGCGTGTCCGCATACATTCAGGTGGACAAAAAATGCACAGCAACAATGGAAAATTGCCTTTATATAAAATATACTAATGAGGACACGATTACAATAGATACTGCCTTATTAGTATTCTTTATATAAAGTGATTAAAGAATACTAATTAGGAGTGTTTGATCAGGTTTAAAGCCACTGCACGTGACTGATTATGCTTTACATGATTTGCCAAAACGGCCGCTTATGAATTATTAATGAGGCAATGAATTCTTGGTAACCATATCCATAATGCTCTGCGACTAATCATGTCATGAATTGATTGAATTCGTCTGAACATATGGTCTGAATTAAATTTGGCATAACTTGAAACGAAGCCATTTTATTATTTAAATGTCGACCAATTGACGAATTTAATAACGAACAAGACGCTCCACGGAGCGTTAAGTCGCTGGGGCTATGGAAATATGCAACTTTAAGTACAAGAAATACCACTCCAAAAATATTGATTCTTGAAGTTTGCCTGGCAGTATAGTGTATCGTATGTGTTGAAATTATAAGCGTTTATCCCGCTGTTGTCATTGCACAGATTGGCTGGTGTTATGTTACCAACTGGCCAAGTTAAAACCGCACTTTAAACCAGTGTGCATTATAAAGACGGCGAACTGCATGGAATAATAATATATGTTAGTATTGTACTAACTACTATTAAAGAAAGATTCCAAGTTACTTCCACGCGATATCAGGAAATTGAGTTCCTCCTTTTCAGCTTTTGTTGGTAATACATTTTGTCCCAATGAACCTTAATCCTTCAATGCTATTTACAGTAATAGGAATAGGATGTAGACTCGAAAGAAGCAGGCGATGTCTGACTTTAAGTTTAATTTATGTAGATCCAAAAGATCAAAATATTATTACTGACTGGAAAGTTTGGAAATTGCGCGCCGGAGATTTCGAAAATTCTATAGTAAATATATAGAAAGCATCAAAATTTGCGCGCTCGATATCTCCGCCGCGCGATACAAACTTTAAATTAATGATATAAAATAATATTATGTACAAAATATCCACTTCCCTCCTCGATAACATAATAGTGAAACGTCGTGATAACGTTTAGTGAATTCTTAATATATTCCTTTCAAAAACCCCAAAGGAAAGACACGATTGGACTAAATAGTCAATAGCGAACTTTTGCGCGCCGTTCCCATGGCCATGGGTATTCCATGGTCGCCATTTTGATTTTGATTTCGTAAGAATTACGTAATTAAAATGACGTAATTTGTCATTTTGAATTGTGGCGTACCAAAGGGCAAACCTAGAGTCGGTGGGCACCACAGGTGGCCCCACCGACTAATTAGGTTTATCTTAATTAAATTCGACGTACGAAACAGACCTTATGCCAAGTACTTTTCAAATGACGTCATTAAAATATGATGTACTTGTGCTGAGAATTGCCATTAGATTTAGAATGGTCAAACTCTGTAAAGTGTATCACACAAGATACCTAAGTATTCTTGTATGTTCTCGTATTAATTCTTAGTATTAACGACATAAGCACAGATATAACCAGTCATATTTCCTGGAATTCCTGTATGGTAAAAAATGACGTCATATTTTCTGCATGGAATGACGTCATATGTTGTGCATGGTAAGAACAAAGAAGTAAAAAACTGAAATACACCCTATTTGGTACTGAGCCTCGTTTTCGTGATTTGAGATATTGGTTACAGTCGCAATCCCGAAAACGAGTGTCATAATGATGCATAATTAATATTCGATTTTATAAAATATCGTCCAGTCAAGACGTACGCGACTAAAGCCCCGTTTACACTACGCTCAATTTTTGGTACCGTACCACTTTTTTGGTTCTTGGAATCAAGAACTAAGAAAGTGGTACGGGTACCAATTTTATCCGTGCCGTACAAAAAATTGAGCGTAGTGTAAACGGGGCTTTAAGATTATGTAACGTCTGCTTTGTCATGATGAGTAAGGGAAAATATTGCATGCCATCATGCTGACGAATGACGATATTTGACGGTGCGGAAAATCGTCGAGAAAATTCGTCTCTGGCTTCTTAGGAAATTACGCATGTCAACCAACCAATCAGAGACACGTAGACACTTGCCACGTGACCAGCATATAATGATATAAATGAAGTATGAGCACATGCGCGACACACAAAGCTCACGTTTGAACAAGAAACTTCACAGAGTTTATAACAAAACTTTTTGTTGAAATTACTCGAAGAAGTCCGTAAAGAAATGGCTAAATCTCCAGCTATCGGTATTGATTTGGGAACAACGTACTCTTGTGTCGGTGTATTTCAGCACGGGAAAGTTGAAATCATCGCAAACGACCAAGGAAACCGAACAACGCCAAGTTATGTCGCTTTCACAGACTCCGAGCGACTTATCGGCGACGCCGCAAAAAATCAAGTCGCTATGAACCCTTCGAACACCGTTTTTGGTAAGCTTTTTATTGATATTGTGTATACATGGTTTTACTTTAACTATTTTTAAGAATGCTAATCGTCTACGGTCTATGAAAATATAGATTTTGAAACAACAGGAAGGGTTTCATTTTCGCTTTGTAAAAATTGTCATAATATGTTGTTTTATAATATAAGTTTTGTATGTAGTACAAGTTTTCATTGTACTAGCAAGTCTTTATCATATCAATATAGTAGAATATTTCGTGCATGTTGAAAGCAAGGATACAAAATTTACGGCATAAAGTACCTATTTCACAATCTGTGAAATACCTGTGTTTGGGCATGGCCGCTGAGTCGTATTTAATTAATAGATAATCAACCAGCTGTTAATTTATGTTGGCTATATACCAGTTGTTTTTATAAAACAAGAATATCCAACAGAAATCACTTTTAAGCGGTAAAATTTTGGGCCAACTTTACCTCGTGGTTAATTAATTATGCGACGGGATTTGATGCAATAACCCCGACCCCTGTGGTATTGAAGGAAATTGCTAGTACCTTCTTGTTTGTTCTTGAATAGTTGAGATATTCTCACTTCCAGCAAGTTTCCTTTTTAAATTAAATGGAAACTGAAATATCGGCAGGATTTTCAAATGTTTGGACCCCCAAGGGAATTCAAGGAAATTGCTGGTGTCTTCTTGCATATTTGAAATATTTTCACTTTTGGAATTTGATTGGTTTCCTTTTTAAAGTGAAACTAATAATCAACAGCAAAATTTGCACAATAAAGTCATATATTCCTTCGTTTAGCTCAAAGTAAGTGGTAAAATGTTTAGTCATAATGTATTCTACGAAAATGAGTGGGTTTCCTTGCCCGAAAGATTGCGAAAATTCACTCCATTCTGGAAGAAATATTTAGTTTGCGTGTGCGATGAATCGCTCGCTCAAGAATCTTGAGCGCACGCGCGATTGCACGCCCTTAGAGCAAGGCCTGCATAAAAATACATACATGTGGGCAAGTTATGGTGAGCTAGCCTGATACCTCGCTTCCATCTCCCCAAAAATGGGTCGTTCCAGAAAAGATCCACATTCCCCCCACGGAGGAAATTTCTGCCGTCCGCAGGGGAAGGGGGGAAAAAATTGTTTCTGATAATAGTAAATGTATTAGGACATCCAAAGGGGGTAGGGGGGTTAACTTCATATTTCCTCTGTGGGGGTGGTATGGATGTTTTCTGGAATGACCCAATGGCAAGACATGTCAGATTCAACTTTGTTTGCCCAACATTTAAAACAGCATATGAAGCTGGCATTACTGCATTTGCATCTTTATGCAAAAGGCCACCATGGATCGGGCCAAGTATGTTGAATGCAGCCTTGAATTGTTTTCTGATAGATTTAAAATTATTTTTCTAGATGCGAAGCGTCTTATTGGACGAAAGTTTGATGATGCTGAGGTTCAGTCTGATATGAAACACTGGCCTTTTGATGTACGAAACGAAGGAAGTAGACCAAAAGTTGAAGTTGAATATAAAGGAGAGAAAAAGCGTTTTTTCCCTGAAGAGGTGAGTAGTATGTCCTACATGTAGTGTAATATTGTGTTCACCAGATGAATTTACCCAGTGAAGAGGTTGAAAAAGTATCAGAACCTAGTTCCCAGAATTTTTTTATAGTTCTGAAAATTACACTAATTGGATATCCAAATTACTAAATACTTGATTATTGAAATGATTGAATACCTAATACTACCAGATGATCTTGATACACGGAAAAGTACTGGCACTAGTTGTCAAATATAAATCCATTTTATGATTAAAACAACTGAATATCTCGTGTAATATACTTTATTTCGATTCCATATTTTTGTCAGAGCTATAGTTCTCATAACCAAACATAATTACAAAATTTCAATTAGTTTCATAAAGAATAACGAAAGATATAATTGACTGAAGACACCAAAATGGATTTCTATTCGGACAACCCTTTCTGAGCGCTGATTGGCTAAAATACGAACACAAGATCACCTGGTAACAGTATAGTACCTCAATACAGTACTTCTCAATTACAGCAGAACAGTTAGAATGAAAATATTCATATAGCCTGCAGTTAGAAATTTATTTTTAACATGCACTGCAACTACTATGATTGCTATGCAGGATTTATCTTAATTGTATGCCTTATCAATCTAAAAGACAAGATTACTTGTTCATTGTCTAGTATTCAGTATTCGTCATTCAATTAATTTTTTCAGATCTCTTCAATGGTTTTGACGAAAATGAAGGAAACTGCTGAAGCTTACCTTGGCAAGAAAGTGACAGATGCTGTTATCACCGTTCCCGCTTACTTCAACGACTCTCAACGCCAGGCCACCAAAGATGCAGGTAAATAGCAACAACTCTGAATGAGTATATAGCCAGTTCGAGTTATGGACACCCAACAAATTTTGTGGTTATTTCTCAAAACTAACCAAGAATTAGGGGCACACTGGAACCAATTTGTTAAGTTCCGGAACTGGTAAAAAATTCTGGCCGGAATCGGAATGGACTCACTAAGTGATATACATGGTCATATGTTACTTTGTCTGCTGCCAGACAGTCAGACACTTTCAGTCACCAAGGAGGAGCGCACGCAAATGTTAGAATAAAAAGATTGACAATCGTTAATTGTGCATTATTTTACTTGGAAGAAAAGCTAACACTTAGCAAAATATAAAAAATTCTGTAATGTCATTTTTTTGGAAAACGCAAAAATGTTGCATTCTTCGGTAAAATGTGTTTGGCATTACAGAATTTTTTGTATAATGAAAGTTTTTAGCAGTGCAATACAGCATGCAAAATTTGAATTAGGGATGAGCCGATAAGGAAAATTGCCGATTACTGAGGCCGATTATTTATAAGCCGATTATCGTAACTAATCGGCCGATTAATCGGTACCCGCCGATTATTTTAAAAAGCAAGCGAAAAATCACAAATTGACCAACAATGAAGTTGTAAATGCGGTTTTATTGTTTACAGTACACACTATGTACAATTAAAAACAGCTTCAATCTTGCATGTCAATAGTCAAAGTTAAGTTTTGGCAGTATGGTGTGAAAACAGGATATTGTCAGCTATGCGGAGCTATTCTGCTGCGTTTTTCAGTGGATATGTTCCCAGCTTCACTTCGCTTGAGACAAAAGACACAGGTTTTGCAACAAAATGTGAAAATCTATTCGCTTGTATTCAGTATTCTAGCATGTGCTCGGCAGTTGCAGAAAAAGTCTTATGGCCGATTATGTGCCGAGTATCAGGCAATAATCGGCCGATTATTTAAAAAACGGCCGATTATTTACCGATTAATCGGCTCATCCCTAATTTGAATATAGGTCACCAGACAAAATAGAGAGACATAGTGCATTGTTTTTCTAAAATGGAAAATTCTAATGACGTAAACAATTGACATAAAATGTTATAGAACACGCGCAATGACGTAAGATGGCACAAGCAACTGCTCACGTCAGGTCATTTTGGAAGTTATTTTATTTTGTTAATCAGTTTCCGCAACTTGTGTGTAAAAATGGTCACCCGGTTTTTGTTAGCAATTCATGAGCAGAATTTTTGTGATAACTATATTGAGCCACCTTAAATGTCTTTTTAAAGCAACAGTAACAGCTATTTTTATGGGGTTTTGGTGTTTGTTTAAGGCTCTAAGAGTCTTGTATAGGGATGAGCCGATTAATCTGCCAAGCCGATTAATCGGCCGATAATCGGCCAATTTTTAATAATCGGTAATCGGCCGATTATTTCTGAATAATCGGCCATTTGCCGATTATTGACCAGTTTCTATTTTCTACTAGAAATAAATGAAAATCTGTGTGATATAAATGAAATAAATGAAAATCTACACAAATACGTACAAATAAGATCTTGCATTTATCTCACCTCTTCATCGCAAATGCAATTATTATAAGTACGAAAATTAACACTTATACATGTAACTCCCATGACCGGAAAACATTGTGTGCGCACGGAAGACCATTACATGAGACAAAAGAGAATGTCATGAAAACTTTTCAATTTGTATCCAGCTTTAGAAGGAAGGAAGAAGTGCTTTGCTACATTAGCTTCTCAAGTTTCATTTCAATGCTTAAAAGCATCTGAGGTTCATCAGGACAACTAACGCCTACTGGTAAATGTGTTAATGGAAATAATCGGCTTTGGCCGATTAATCGGCCGATTATTTGGTATTATCGGCCACCGATTAATCGAATCGGTAATTTCAGTGATCGGCTCATCCCTAGTCTTGTACATTTCTATTAAGTTGCATTAACACACACCCTACTTTATTATTTTACTCTGTCTGACGCCAGACATAGGATAGCGCTGGCACTGAATGGGTTAAAACAACCAAATGACAAAATTTTGTTTTGCAATTCATCTGGGGAAAATCTTCAAGTAAATTAATAATTTTCATTGATTGTTTTGTAGGTGTGATCACGGGCCTTAATGTTCTTCGAATCATCAATGAGCCAACGGCAGCTGCCATTGCATATGGTTTGGACAAGAAAGTGAGTGCAGAACGAAATGTTTTGATCTTTGATCTGGGTGGTGGTACATTTGATGTATCGATCCTTGCCATTGAAGATGGTATTTTTGAAGTGAAGTCGACAGCTGGTGACACCCATCTTGGTGGTGAAGATTTTGATCAATACATGGTGGATCATTTCGTGAAAGAATTCAAGAGAAAACATAAGAAGGACATTACCGGAAACAAACGTGCCATGAGGCGATTACGTACATCGTGTGAACGAGCCAAGAGAACACTATCGTCAAGCACTCAAGCAAATGTTGAAATTGATTCCCTCTTCGAGGGAATTGATTTCTACACAAGCATAACCCGTGCCAGGTTTGAGGAAATCTGTGGTGAAAAATTCCGCAGTACTTTGACACCTGTGGAAAAAGCCCTTAAAGATGCGGGACTTGATAAAGGAGCAATTCATGAGGTTGTTCTTGTTGGTGGTTCCACACGTATCCCCAAAATCCAGAAGTTGTTGCAAGAATTCCTCAATGGCAAGGAGTTGAACAAGTCGATCAACCCTGATGAGGCTGTAGCATATGGTGCTGCTGTTCAGGCTGCGATCTTGTCTGGTGACACAAGTGATGATGTCAAAGACCTCCTACTTATCGACGTCACACCGTTGTCTCTTGGTCTTGAAACAGCTGGTGGAGTTATGACAGCAATCATCGCCCGAAATACCACGATACCAACAAAGAAAACGCAAACTTTTACCACATACTCTGATAATCAACCAGGTTTGTCTTGTGCTCCTGTCTTATTTGCATTCTTCAAGTAACATTGCAGTGTAGTCTAGTCTTGTACAGAAAGGTCTCTATTGTTTTTGTCACCTATGGTTTCTGTCTGAACCTGTATTTCCATATGTAGTAATACCACAGAGTAGATAAGACATACAGAGACGTAACTGACCGTTGTAAACACTGCGGAAGATTACGTTATCATGTACCCACTTTTTTCAGGCGACCGGCCGAAAAATGATCAACTGCGCGTGCTCAGCAAGTTTAAAGTGAGTCGTCATCAGGTCGTCATCCAATCAGATGCATGCATCTAGTAACTTGCCAAGCATGCGCACAAAAAAAGTGGGTACACTAGTTACGTCTCTGTATGTCTCTACTCTGTGGTAATACTTATATTTCAGGTCCAAACCTGACAACTATTTTGTTTTCCCAGGCGATTTGCATTGACCATTTCAATGGCTTTATATCCCCTTCCCCCTCAAGCAGAGTGTTAAATGTAGTCAATTTGAAGATATTAATGGTTTAACCATTTTTTTGTCTTTGTTAGGTGTGCTTATCCAAGTATTTGAAGGAGAACGTTCAATGACAGCTGACAACAATCTTCTTGGAAAGTTCGAGCTTTCCGGAATCCCACCCGCCCCTCGCGGTGTACCGCAGATTGACGTTACATTTGACATTGATGCTAATGGTATCCTCAACGTTAGCGCTGTTGAGAAGAGTACCGGTAAAGAAAATAAGATCACGATCACGAACGACAAGGGAAGATTGAGCAAGGACGACATTGACAGGATGGTTAACGAGGCTGAGAAGTACAAGGCTGACGATGACAAGCAGAGAGAACGTGTTCAAGCTAAGAATGGTTTGGAGAGTTATGCTTACCAAATGAAGCAAACAATGGAGGATGAAAAATTGAAAGATAAGATCAGCGAAGAAGACAAGAAGACAGTCTTGGATAAATGTAACGAGGTCATCAGCTGGTTGGACTCGAATCAAACAGCGGAGAAAGATGAGTATGAAGACAAACAGAAAGAATTAGAGAAAATATACAATCCAGTCATCAGCAAGGTTTACCAAGCTACAGGTGGTGCACCACCCGGCGGTGTGCCGGGAGGGATGCCTGGAGGATTCCAGGGGGCTAGTGGTCCTGATGGTGCTCCACCAACACAACAATCTCAAGGTCCTACCATTGAAGAAGTCGATTAAACAAACTATTTATTGAACCAACTTAACTTTCAGAGTTAATTAAAAAAATATTTGTTGAATTCGTTAATTAATCTCACTTCCGCTACTTAAAAAGTCCAAAACTTTGTTTTGTTTTGTTCCCTTGTTGAAGTAGGATGGTTCTGATTAAACTTGAAATAGCTAAAAAATGGTATTCTAATTAAACTTGAAATAGCTCTAAAAAGAGAATTGACATTCTTGTTAAAATTTAAACCTACTCAGAAAAATAAATATTAAATAAACTTTTTGCGAATGTGTACTTTGAGTGTGTGTGTGTGTGTGTTTGGGGGACAAGCGGCATAATATCGAATCCCAGTCGGCAAAACATGGATTTGGGATAGGAACGGGAAAAAATAAAATAGTTCAGTGACACCGATCCAAAATTAAGAATAATAGCTACAATGCGGGAAATTTACGAAAAAAATTGGGAACAAATGGAACGAACAACGGTGGTTAAACGCAAAATAAGATTGACAAATATGTTACCGGAAAATTTGATGTTGCCCCCCATCTCTACTTTGTACAACCTCTTTCTGGACACAAGTGCGTCCAAAAAAACAGATTACCGTAAACCTCCGAATATAAACCCTGGACATGAGCCGTAAGCAGTGGCCGTAAGCATTACAAACAGACGACATTTGGTGTTAGTATTAGGGAGTTTAAAGCTTTGCGTTTCCGGGAACGGCAGGTTCGAACTTTCTTCGCAGAATTTTCGTTGAACGTTTTCGTTTCATATTCTTTCTTGTGTCGAAAGAATAATCGTGCATTCAGTTTTTATTGCCTGATACCGCAAATTTCTTCTTTGCCTGGCGTTTGCCGTATAACGCGAAGCTTAAACTCTCTAATATCCATTGGCATTGTACCTGTAAACAATTATAGCAGGAACGAAAGGAAACAAACGTACAGTATATAACACATGAAACAAGTTGGTTAATTAACATAATATGTAATGTGTAATTATCGTGCGACATATCTAATGCTCCATGGTCCGTCATTAACAATTTTGACGATATCAATGACAGTTTGAATGCTTTTGATGTGTTATTTAATGGTATTCTTGATCAACATGCACCAGTCAGAAAAGTTAAAGTGAGAGTTCGTCCAAATCCCTTTGTTACAGAAGAGATTCGAAAGCTGATGAGAACAAGAGATTGTTGGAGAAAAATAGCTCGGAAAACTGGTGATCCTGCTGCGTGGTCTACTTACAGGGACTACAAACGGGATGTTAAACGGAAATTACGTCAAGCACAAAGATCGTATGTAGAGCAGGAAATAAAGAAGAACCCAAAGGACACAGGCAATATGTGGAAAGTAATTCGAACATGTATTCCCAAGAAAACTACTGGAAAGAAGTCATTCAGTAATGATGATAAATCTGTTGCAAATAACTTCAACGAATTTTTTACAGCTGTCGGTTCAAACACTGTCATGAAAATTAAATCACTTGCTAAAGAAAATAATTACACTCCCTCCCAATTACCATTTGTCCCAACCAGGGCACCGAGTTGGGTCAGTTTACCTTTAAACTAGGCAACCTCGTCCCCAGGGCCTTTTAAGGAAGGAGGCGAAGGGCTGCTTCGCCTCCTTCCTCAATAGGCCCTGGGGACGAGGTTGTGAACTAGGCTCAGATTCCAGCCGTTGTATTCTCGCCCACTTGTGGCGAGAACACAACGGCTGGAATCTGAGCCTACCTTTGAACCTGCGGAATGTTCCTTAGTAGAATAAATAATATTGTGAAGTCAATGCCTGATAACAAGGCACCAGGAATAGATAAAGTACCTACTCGCGTTGTCAAGGACTGTCTTCCCGTTGTTGCACCATGGATTACCTCCATCATAAACAAATCGTTAGTCAACAATATTTTTCCAAGTGCTTGGAAAATTGCTGAAGTAATCCCCATTCTGAAAGAAGGTGATCATGAGCAAGCCAATAACAACAGACCAATTTCCCTCCTACCCGTTCTTTCTAAGGTATGCGAGAGAGTAGCACTAGCTCAATCAACTAACCTACCTAACCATCAATCGTCGCCTCCCTGTGCATCAGAGTGGCAACAAAACCTGGCACTCAACGGAAACCTCCCTCATCCATTCCACCGACTCCATTCTCAAAGCAATCGACCAGAAGAAAGTCACGGCAGTTATTCTTTTGGACATGAGTAAAGCCTTTTACAGCATTAATCACAATATACTTCTTGCTAAATTGGAGGATGTTGGCGTTTCACCTTCATGCCTGACTTGGCTTAGAAGTTATCTGAGCGAAAGATATCAAGCAGTACGCATAAATTCTACTCTAACTGAGAAATTGCCAGTGGTTAGTGGTGTCCCACAAGGAAGTATTCTCGGTCCGTTGCTGTTCAGTATTTATGTCAATGATCTACCGTCCGCCACTAAAACGTGTTCCTCTGAATCGTATGTTGACGATACTAAACTCCTGTCCTTCCATATCAATGACTCTAATGCTGCTCTGGTTGATCTGAATGAAGACTTAATTAGAATTCGAAATTGGTGTTTCGACAACTTGCTCTTGCTCAACCCAGGCAAGACCAAATTGATGGTCTACGGAAGTCGTCAAATGCTCGCAAGGCTACCTGAATTCAGACTCTCACTACTCGGTAAAGAACTAACACCTGCTGCAACAGTCAAAGATCTGGGAGTTACGTTTGACCCAATCCTCTCCTTCGACAACCATATCCTTTCCACCGTCTCATCCTGCAAATCAAGCCTCTGTCAGATAAATCGAGCTAAACACGCCTTCAATAAAAATCTGTTAGTAACTGTAATCAATGCTTTGGTTTTCAGCAAGCTCTACTATTGTTCTTCACTTTGGTCAAACACTTCCCGTAACCTATCCCGCCTTCAAGGGGTCCAGAATTTCGCAGCACGAGTAGTGACGAATACAAGAAAGTTCGACCACATCACCCCGATTCTAAAGGAAATACAGTGGCTTCCCGTGAAATTGCATCTCTACTATCGTGATGCTCTACTAGCCTTCAAATACATGAACAATTGTGCCGTCAACAACTTGTCGTCCCAGTTAATAACCAGAGGTGAAGTGAGCTCTCGTGAGACACGAAATGTACGAAGTCTGGATGTTCCATTGTACAAAACAGCTACTACAGCTACTAAACATTCCATTATCGAACTGTCACTCTTTGGAACAACATTAGCCTTGGCTTACGCCGGTGCAATTCTATTTCAAACTTTAAGTTAAAACTATAAGACATAAACTTCTCCAGCAATTCCTGGATAGTTATTAAGTACTTGTTTTTCAGTAGTTAATCAATAAGCGTTGTCGATGTTACTGTTGTTGTGTTATCATCATCGCTGTTGTTGTGATTCTTGTTGTTGTTGATGTCCCTGTTTTTGTGAAATTGTCCTTGTTTGCTAGTAATGTGTTTCAATAGCATTAATTAGAACTAAATGTAGTAATAATACAGTAAGTTTATGTGTTTGTAATTTTTGTCACTGAAAAGCCCCTTCAGGGGAGTGTCAATAATGTCAATAATCAATAACCGTCACTCTTCTGAGCTGTTGGAATCCCCTTCGGTTTGTTTACGGTTTGCACGCTGATAAGACAAATCACAAACGAGAATAAAGTTGAATGTATAATAATTCCAATTATTTAATACCAACACGACGTTTGAATTTGGAGGCACACAACATCTACTGGGTCTGGGTGACCGGTCATAAAGTACAGGGGGGCGGGCTGGAAAATTCAAATTTTTGAAGACCCACCCCCCCTCCCAAATTAGGCACTAATGGCCCACCCTTTTGCCCTCGCATAAAAATTGATGACCCACCCCTGCGTTGAAAATTTGCTTCGAAACAAAAAGTAGACATGCTCAAAGTCTCTCTTTCTCTAGTTTCTTTATGTTCTTTCTCGTTCCACTATAGTGTGTACTACATGACGTAGCCAACAAGTAGTACACTTTACACTGCAAAAAGCGCCCAGCCTCTAACAATGCTGTTGAAAACAGGCCTAAACAATATTTTGCTGCCCATATTGTTCTGGCTGAACAATATTGTTAACAACCAGGAACAATATGGGCAGCAAAATATTTTTAGGCCTGTTTTCATCAACATTGTTACAGGCTGGGCGTTTTTTTGCTGTGCAGTGGTGAAAACTCATGGATACCCCTTCATAATTTATAAAATATTAATGATATATTTTATTTGTCTGTGAGAAAACCGTCATAAATTAACCGTTATTAAATCCAAATATATATTGTTCGGAACCTTGTGTTTAATACATATTGTACTTCTTCATTGACATTTTTTCAGCCATGTTTTGTAAAATTAAATAAAAGATGATATTAATAATGTTCTCTACCTTTTGAAACCTATATAAATCAAGCACATTTTACTATGACCCAATCCCTTTCAAATGTTTAAAATTCGATGACCCACCCCCTGTTTTTCCAGCCCCGCCCCCTGCACTTTATGACCGCTAGAAATCACGACCATCAATCCTATCATTTGATAAAACTCTATTTAAAAGAAGTCATCGTCATATTTCTGTAGTTCTCGGTTAACTTTTGGTGGTTCTTCGTGATGGTCTCGAGGTGGCGAATCTACACATAGAACTAGCTTTAACTGGAATTTGCCTATTTTTCAACTGGGAAAATGGGAGTTGGATTACTGGGACTTTCACAAAGAGTCTGACTATGTCCTATTTAATATATAGTACATGTATGTAGTGGTAGTTATATCAAAGCACTGACCGCTGTGATACAACTGCATGCACAATACTCGCCAGTCGCCTCGCTAAAATTTCTCATCAGAGTTCGACGTAATTTTAAAAACTTTGGTCTGACAATATGTCAGATCAACTCACGTTTTGGTCGGGGATGATCAGTCGGTTATAAAACTCAAAAGAGGAGCGGCACTTTTAGGGGCTAGAGACACCCTCCACCAAAAGATGCGCCGTAGCTTTACTTGAAGTTATTTAAACTCTGAAATGTCCAACTACAACCCAGGGGCGGATCTAGCCTCATCTGCAAGGAGGGGTGCAGGTTTTCCATAAGCGAACCTCACTGCCCATAAACACATATCTATACATAATCTCCTAGCCTGCGAACAGGCTCTCAAGCTGAATTGAGAGCCTGCATCGATGACTAATGAATTTGAATATCTGCGTCTCAAATTGTGACGCGAAATTCTCATTGGTCAGATGCTATAATTTATATGTTTCCGCTGAGCTCTATGTATGTCAACTGCTGAAGCACTATGCATAAAAAGGACATTAACTGATCAAATTGGTCTTGGCCATCTTATCTCAAAGCACGAAATGTTCTGTTTTGGGAAAACAGTATTTAAAACATTTAAACTTTTGCTTGAATATCTTATATTTCGAAAAACAGTATAAACTGTACGGTCTAAATTTAGTTTGCACGAAAGTTGTAAACAACACCATATAAGGATAGACATTCCATATTTGGAAAAACGAACGTTACGGGGCAGATATTCAAATTCATTAGTCATCGATGCAGGCTCTCAATTCAGCTTGAGAGCCTGTTCGCAGGTTAATAATCTCCATGCATATAAAATAACGCATCTGTAACAATACACTTACCACGAGACGATATCGGAATGTCCCCTCTATCGTTATGGTACTGTCTCCTCGCGTAGGAAACATGAACATTAACATTTTCAACCCTTTCACCATTCATCTAGAAAGAAAATCAAACCTTGAAATGACAACGTGATATCCCGCGTTACCTCATGAGAAAATCCAAAACTGCGTTGTCAACATAAAATTGACTCAATCGGGATTTGACCTCGCATAATCCATGAAGCCGGCTGACGCTCTACCAATTGAGCTATCGAGCCAACTGGGGACAGCACAAGTTCAAATCAACATTTCTCGCAACTTATCGACTTAAAACCTATCTTACGATGGCCACAGTATTTCAAATCATAGTTAATATATGTTCAAATATATTTGAGAGCCATCGTCCTGAATATGCGAATTCAAATCCCGTTGAGTCGACTTTATGTTACAACACATTGTTGGTTTTTTTCTCATGAATATTTTGTATATTTCCCTGATGATGGCTCTGCCATCGGCAGGTATTTTCCGTGGGTGACATGTGGGGGTGACAGGAACGGGATGGCAGGTGATATGGGGGGGGGGGTTATAGTTGGGGTGTGTGACAGGGGGGTAACAAGGGCTATAACCCTCCTAGCCCCACCCTATATCGCCCACCTTGAACATTATACCTGTAGAATAATTAAAGTAACGTAGCATTATAGCATGAAAAGCATAATTTGTAGAAAGGAGGCATAGAAAATTCAGTAAATTCAAAGTTTTTCGAAGCGTTGAGAAAGTGCTTGTAATCCTTGTCTCTGGGTGTAACATACTACCCAACGCACAATGTCAGACAGCCAGAGTAATATTTCAGAAAAAGAAAACATTTACACTTGCACCACTACATTCAAGGAATACCGAATGGTTTTCCGCGCAGGTTTGCTTGATCCATGCACAAGGGATGTCGCGAGACTTCGACTAAAAATACTCGAGCCGCAGGCGCGTGTGTTTTTTACGCTTTCCGAAAGTTGAGCAACATCCCAAGTGCATGGATCACGCTATCCTGGTTGGAAAACCATTTGGTAATTGTTTTATAAAATACTACAGTGAAACAATGACATTTTGAAAATCCCGCGAAGGCATTTTAATTCCTCGTGCAGGATAGCCTGATCGTGCACGGTTATTGACCAATCAAATAGCGTGTTTCACTGTAGTTAATATATAATACAACTTCCATACACTAAGAAATATTTCCTTTTTCTTAAATAACATATACTAACCTAAACGATTAACAAAAGTTTCAGTAACTGAAATATCAACACGCAAAATATTACCCACCACCCGTTATCCGCTACTCGCGGAAAACATTTGCCGCTCTGAAATAGATATTCGTTACCTCATTGACAGCTTTTTCAGCTTCATCACTAGTCTTGTACGTGACAAAACCAAACCTAAAGAATACATTTAAGAAACAGAGATTTCCTCTTCATGGCAGGACGCATGTTTTTACAAAACGCGAACAAGCGAATGCAATAAGTGAATGAGATACAAAATCATTGTTATTCCTACCTGTCTCTTTCAAAACGAACATCAGTAACAGTGCCTGAATGTGCAAGATAATTATATTACCATTGAGTGCGATATTACTACTCTGACCAGGATTATCAAAGTGCGACTAACCCTAACCTGCGATCAGGCCTTATTTTTCTCGCAGCGGGCGAAGAAAAATGAAGGCCTGATACAAATGTTATTAAAAGTTTGTGTGTGGTCGTACGTCTGATTGGCTATTTCTAGCTTAAGTATCAGATTTAATGTTTTGACTGGTTAATGCTAATGAACTGGTCATCATTTATGGTGGGGGTTGGTACCGAAGAGAAAATAGTTGGGCAAACAAAATATTGAGTGAGTAAAAGGCTTGGTAAATGAAAGCAAAACAACTCAAGGATTGGGTAATAAAAAATTATTGTCATTTCTCAAATATTCTCACTCAAAAATATAGAAAACTAAAAAGCAATGTCAACAGTCATATGTTAACACAATATGTAAATCAATCAGAGTCGATCACTATATCTTGATCATTTTCCAATTTGTCAGGAGCCAAATTGTGTCTCCAAAGAAAGTACATGTGCAGACAACATGAAACTTTATCGAACTCATCTCAAACAGATATCGAAGTCATGTCACAGAAGTGGTAAAGGACATGCATGTGTGACAACTGAATGGTATCTTTTTGTAAAGCTCTTGGCCAGGGGTAGCTATTCAGGTATGCAATACGCCATTACCTCTTTACTACCTCACGGTCTGTTCTTGTCGAAATGGGCAGTTCTAATTTTTTCTTAAGATTACCCCTGTTTTATATTTAGTATCCAATCAAAATGTCCCAAGAGAAATGTCGATTTCATACAACACTAACAACAATCTAATTGCAGTTATCGTGGTAGTTACATACAACCACTAAATATATTATTATCGAAACAATAAGTTGATGGGAGGACTGGGGATGAGTGTTAAAAAGCACCCAAATTAAAAAATAAACCAAATCAGTGAAATCACTAAAAAGACCACCTTGGAGTTTTAGAAGTCCAGAATGGCCATTTCCTGCGTTTTCAGAGTGACATTTGATTTTGTTTTTGCCTTAAATATATGTATGATTGTGGGGCTTAATATTATTTATAACTAATTTTCATATAAAGCTCGAAAATTCAATTTTCGAACTGCTCATTTTAAGTTTTAGAACTACCTATTTTACATTTAGAAGTGGGAGGCCTTAGGATGACTCCTGATATAAAACTATAGTGTGATTGGAAAGCAACCGGATCTGTGTCAGGCTCTGTATGTAATAGAGAGCACAATCGCAGGGTAGACTAAATATGATTTTTGATATGTGTAATATTTGGTCATTCTGAGAAGAAATGTAAGATATCTTTATACTAAAAAACCTCATCATGATCAACCACTGTCAAAGTTTCCGGGTACACAAGTAAGAATCTCACAGCCAGGCTTGTAACAACTTGTTTGCAGACTTGTAACAATTTGTGCGTTTTTACGTGTGTAATTTGCAATTCATCAAATTACATCATATTGGGAAACTTCTACAATGAAAATGATGACTAAAATGCGATTTTCTATACTATAGATATACATTTTATGTATTATTATTTGCATGACACAAATTATCACATAATTAGTTGCATCTTAAAGAAACTGAGAAATTGAGAATCTTACCAAATTTATGAAATTGATTTCTTACAATTTCTTCTGTAAGGCCATAACCTTTAATAAAGATTGTGTTTCCCTAAAAAAATATATTAAATGTCTTAAACCATGATACTTAGCAACCTTACTTGCAGCTGAGAGTTGAACTATGCATGGAGGACGCAGCTCAATTTGATCGAATTGAAGGCTTTCTAAGGGCGCCATTTGTCAACCACCTTATGTCTGGTCATGGAACCACGCACCCCCCCCCCCCCACAAAATTTT